GTTGGAGACGGTGAAATAAAATGATTACCTGGGAAAATTCTGACAGTCAGAACTATTCCAGTGCCGAATTCCAAGAGGAAACTGCGACAGTTCTTGGGTAGAGGAGCATTCTACAGTCGGTTCCTCAAAAAGTCCAATGAGATAGCAGCAAGTTTATATAAGTTTCTTGATAACCCCAAGTTTACGTGGACAGAAGAGACACAGAAAAAGTTTGATTACATTAAGGAACGGCTAAGTGACTGGCAGATGACTTTAAAACTACCAACACTCGGGAAGCCACTCATTGTGTCAAACGATGCAAGTGATATGGAATAGGGCAGTTCTGAGATAGACTGAAGGAGAAGTGGAGTATGACAGCCGTATCCTGACACCTACAGAACAGAAATATTCCACAGTTGAAAAGGAATGTCTGCCGATAGTTTGGGCGCTTGATAAATGGAGATCGTACCTCCTTGGTCAACTATTCCATATTGAAACTGATCATAAACTTTTACAGTGGCTTAAGACAGCGGGAGACCCCAGAGGAAAATTATCATGTTGGATGTTACAACTGCAAGAATATGATTTCACAATCGTCCATGTGACAGTTAAAGAAAACTGGTTGGCAGACTTCTCATCAAGGTCAGACGAAGAAAATGAACCATCTAAGATCGCATACGGTGTACATGCAGTGGAACGGGACCCATTTAAGCGTATTCGCCTTCAAAAGTTGAACCTTACACTTAAAGAAGTGATAAAAACCATAAGTGAAGGAATGAAGACACAAACATCTGTGGGAAATAAAGAGTTGAGAAAGTTGTTGACGCAGAAAGAACGCCTACGGATGAATACTTATGGGATGCTGACATGCCGAGAAAACAATGGGACCTGGTTGGCAGTGATTCCGAAATGTCTACTCAACAAAATGATACAAGAATGCCACCAGTTAGCTCATACAAGTGTCTCACGGACAGCCGGCCTCAAACAAAGTGCATGCTGGCCAGGTATGAGAGATGTTGCTAAACACGTGCTGGGTTGTCCTCATTGTCAACTGATGAAAGGTGATAGGTATGTACGACAGCCGCTCCAGTCGATTCCAGTGTAGGGAGTTGGTGACCTGTGGTCTGTGAACGTAGTGGGACCGTTTCTATAGACAGCTAGTGGCAACCAATACCTGTTGGTGATGACGGAGCATGCTACACGATGGCGATTCCTGATCAACGCGTGAAGACAGTGACCGCAGCCGTGATTCGGCATATTGTCACAGACCACGGTGTGCCGAAATGAAATTGACCGACCAAGATCCTTGTTTTGAGAGTGACATATTCAAATTCTTTTTGGAACAGCTTGATATCAAGAGGATAAAAACGACGCCGTACCACCCTCAGACTAATGGTTTGATAGAACGGAATAACCGTACACCTAAGGAGTGGCTGGCTTCGAAAGGAGGAAATTGGGAGACGGAACTGCCGTTAATATTATTAGCTCATCGTGCTTCGGCACAAAGAACAACCAAGAACTTGTCGTCCCAGTTTATGTTTAGCAGGAAACAACGGCTCCCAATGTATAGTAAGCCCTGGCCCCAACAACAGCCGTGGAACATGGGAAGATTGAGAGAGGAGGGGAAACAGGCTATCAGAAATGTGGAACAAAAGCAGAAGACTGATGCTGAAAAATCTGAGCAGAGAGAAAGAAGTAAATGGAAACTATTTGAGGTCGGAAATCAGATGAAATGTAACGAACGAGTATATACATCAGAAGGTGAATATGGTAGAAGGAAACTACGCCAGAAGTGAGAAGGACCATAAATCATTACCGAGAGACGCGGATCAGTTTATATCACCAAAAAAAGGACAAAGAGAAAAGAGTAAACGCCAGCCTACTTCAAAAAAGGAAGCGGTGGGAAAAAGACGAAACACTGCGTGAACACCAAGGCGATCAACACGTTTGCAAGCCCGAAATTTTGACGGGGAGACGAGTGTAGTGGGCATTGCTGATAAGAGTGGATATAAATAGTACATGTTGAGAGGGTGGCAGAAATCATAAAGAATTACCAGCAATGCGGCAAGAGACAACACAGGCCTATGAAGGACAAATCAAAAGAGAAGCAGAAGAGGAAATGAAGTACATTTTGCAAATGATGGTTTTAGTGTAAGTTGCACCATATTTAGCGACTACTGTCCCACTTTTTGATATCACGTATTCCTACCTTCGTATCTGTCTTCTTGTTTCTTTCAGTAACATACCAGTTGCAAATAAATATTATCATTTTGACTAAGGTAGCCGAATTTCGGCACACTAGCATCTACGCTGAGTGATGATTGAAAGTGAATTAGAAATTTGGACGGTGGCAGGATTCAAACCAACGACCATCGGTTTTCCGGCCAAGTGCTCTACTAATTGACCTACGAGGCCCAACTGCTGTTTTTATTACTCCAGCCAACAAGGGTTTTGCCCGACTACCATGTGAATTCGTGATGTGTTACTACCACTTGGTCGTACTCACACTGGCTTCCAAGTCAAGGCTTCTCATCCCAATCTAACTGCATTAGAGAGGGGGGAGAATCATATTGAAACGGTCAGCAGTTATTTCTGTCTGTGATCTAATGAAAGATGAAGATATTCATTGATATAGGTCTTTCATATCATAATGATATAATTATGAGCAATAATTTATGCTGACGATGTCATTAAATAAATAATACTGCATCACTGTGTGTTATAAATCAAATAAACAAATCTAATATGGAATGAAGATATTCAGCTAGTATTCAGGGGCTGGGGGTGGAGAAGCAGTTAGGAACATATCTGAATATGGTCAGAATTGGCATTCAGATGATATTTGGCAACATAGATAATCTGGCATGAAGGAAGTGGTAAAGATAGCTAGTAACCGATAACAAAATTTTGTAAACACCTGTGTATCTACGATGTATTGTGTAAACTGGTCGACTTGAGAAGATTCATGTGGTGTAGCAGTGATTACAGTGAGAAGCGAAAGCAGTGTAAAGATCAAGTGCAAAAGAGTCAGCATAAAAATCAGGAGCAGCGGTAGGTAGAAAAAGTTAATGAGATGTAAAAGGCATCAGCCTTAGGTGATACTTGGTAATTATGTTGGCCTCTGTATGAGACTGATGTGAAACAGATGATAGCCATTGAAACGTACCGGTACCTAAGAGGTTTTCAGGACAGGTGGCTTGAAAGTTGGATAGAACACTTACAACAACAGACCAGTTAGTTTACAGACAATCTTTAGACGCCCGCAATTCATCCTCAGCCTGAACCAGACCCAGATGCAAGTCTTTGATTTCTCACTCAATTTGAGAAGGCTGTGTCAAACCACCAGGTATCTAAGGACTGGTGTGCAGCGACCTCGGGTTTAAGTTTTAAAAGTGAAGTGGTGGGATACAAACACCACCTCACTTACTTAGGAAGTTGCATCAGCTAAGATGGGCTACTGACAGAATCTGAGCTTGGATTCAAAAGGTCACTTCGGCATTTGCCAAACTCCACCACTTATGGCGCCAGTAAGGTATCTGACTTTATATCGAACGAAGAGTTTGCTACATAGCAGACTGTTCTATTAACCTTCATGACTGAGACATAATCTTTGAAAGAAGAAGACACAAGAAATTAATGGGCTTTTTGATCATAGGTATATCCATTGTATCAGTCATATATATAAGAACAACTATGTAAGCAGTATTAAGGGTAGTTGTGGGGTACTTGGCAAAAAGAGTAAGTCAGTTAAAGGGATCATGAACCTACACTGAATGAGATGGATTGGACAGGTGTTGCACATACTGAATCAGCACATACCCTGAAGAGCAATGTTAGTTGAAGTAGGAATGGACTAAACGGCAAGAAAGTTAAGGGTGATCAGACAAAGACAATGCACTAGTCTCTGAATTCTGAGTCATATGGACTACTTGTTTCGCGTCTTCTGATACCGTAAAAATCAATGGTTAAAAACTCTAGGCGATTTGATCCTAAATCAATCACTGTGATGTAGAGATGTTCATTCATCATAACTGTCGAAATTTAGAACATTTTGCAAACAACCATTAATTTATACTCTGTTGTTTGATTTATTGTCGTCAACTTTAATGATGTGCGTAGTAATATGAGTTGATGGATTTCTTTGAGAAGTTATTTGTTCATCTTTCCGTTCAGCCTTTGTGAATTTTACTTAGCCGCTTAAGCAAAGGGTTCCGAAGTAACTGTCGAAATTTAATTGGATGTCCTTACAAACTACTGAACCATCTCCATATAGACAAACTGAATCTGGATGAATATAAGAGTAGAATTTGAACAAACTGGTAGGCTGTAATCTACCATGACATAAATATGGACTATAAGTTATGGCCAAAACATTATGCGGTAAATAATACTGTGTTACTCAGTTAATACTGTCTATTTATTCAAATTGATTTCAGGGAATAACTTACAATAAAGTTCTTCAGTGTATTCTGAAGATATATCCTATATAGTTGGTTAGAGCGTACAACTAGCCAACCTACTATTTTGGCTTACTTATTATAAGATTATGAAGTTGATGGTTAGAGTGACTGATACTGATTGTTACTCTGAGACCTTGACACCACTCACGTCAGTTCCATCTCTTATTACACATCGAGTCACAAAGAAGAGATGAGTCAAGAACTAGAAGTAAGCTTGGTTAAACTGTAAAGCTTAAAAGTGAAACTTTTGACGAATATTTGATTAATAACTATCGAAGTCAAGCAATAAGAGGGAAGCTTTTCGACTTCAGAGGATAACACAAGATACAAACCAATGCAGTTTGAATTTTTCCAGTTGGCTTAACGTGGTGTACAATACGGACACTTTCTTTACGTTGATGTTTATGAATAACATACCCTTTCTGGCAGACTATCCAAATACCCGATATGAGGTTTAGAGTGTACATAGACGCATAATAACCAAAGTGTATATAAATAAAACAAAGTGTAACTTTGAAAAGATCATAACATGAGTGGAAGTTCACGACTTTTTTGACTCACATGTTTTAAAATCGATTGATATCGTAGAATTTTTGCCCCTGTATAAGGAACACGGTTCTGAATCGCATGGTATTACTGCCATTGAAATTACAGAACCTTTCGATGATCCTAGAAAAGATGAAAAAAAGAACATTTTTTAAAATTTCATTTGCAATCTAAAAATACCAAGCCCAAACCTCAAAAAGAAATCCTACCACCGTGCCAAAAAAGACACTCCATCTAAACTTCAAAGGTGATCCTTCTGCTAACACTCCAAAAAGGAGGATACCGAACACTCTAACTAGAACATTCTTTGCATCAACGCCAAGACTAGTATTCTCTTGTCATTCATCGATTTCTAACAACTGAAAGGAAAAACTTTCACAACTAACCACTTATAGGTGCATACATGAATTCATCTACTCTTGTGGAACCAGGTGTATAGGTCTTTCGATGCGACCGTTATCCAAAGAGTTCAAGAACACTATCGCGTGTGGTTACAAAGAGATAACCAGGAGGGCGATAAAGAGCTCTATAATTTAACACATCGTGAACACGAATCACGCTATCTCAAGAACATCCTCGTCCAAAGTCATCTATAAAGTAGAAAAAATCTTCGAAAGGCTGTATGTCGTAGTATTCTCTACATCGCCGAAGCTCTTGCCATCCACATAGAGAAACGTGAACTATGCACGCAAAAGAATATTGTTCAACCCCTCCTCCTTCACCTCCTTCCCTTTTTTCTTTTCATCTTTCTGTTTTGACACTATTCACTTCTTGAGTAGTTTGTTACTCATTCTTGTTGCTATGTCTCTGCCTGATCTTAACTCAGTTTAAAATTATGTCTTCATGTTACGAAGCTTCTTTTCCAAACTTATTTTGATTAATATTCACTAGTCATCAGTTTTTAGTGTTTTCATTTTAATGACAGCTCATTTGTTGACACTGTTTTTGAGACGATGTATAGTTGAAAATCAATCTTATTGGTACAGATGTACCCACACTTCCTAATCGTCATACCCACTTCTTCCCTTTGTATGATTTCCTACTAATTGTGAATGTTTTCTTCATTATTATTTCTCTGTTTATCATCTTGTTGTATTGATGTGAGGTGTAGCAACGTGGACTGTTTATACAGATAAGCTTGGTTCCATGTTGACATCGCTTACTTGACTGTTCAAATGGTTGTGTGGAATCAACAATACTGAATAATGGAGTATAGTTTTCTACTCCAATAGTAGTAAGGGACAAGAATGTACTAAACGCAGCCTATATAAAACAAGTAAAAATGTTGATACGAAACATAGCTGACATATGAAACATCACTCGACAAGACACAACGGTGTTGAGAGATATTTTGTCTCAGTCACTGTAAATACGAATATTACTGAAACATTCAGAAAACCACAATTATCGATAGTGTTTCCGAAAGAACTTACAATAATGATCAGAAATGCAGGCCAACAATTGTTAAGCGAAACTAACCAATCACAAGAGAATACACAATCACTGAATGTGAGTGGGCAGATGATAAGTATTCCCTCCATAAACTGGTTAGTGGAACTTGTAGTTTACCATGACTACTTCACAAAGCTTTAATGGACAAAAAGTAAGTTATTTCCCTTCGGTTTACTTTGGAATGGCTGCAAGTTGTAGTGAGCAAAATATCGAATTTGTCTGAAACTTCAGAAGCAATCAACTACATAAGGCTGAAACTACTGACCATATTCCATTTATCTTGTTTAAGACACTATGATGTGTTGGAGAATCCACTTTAGAACCTGTTGCTGGATTTGGTAAATAAAATTTTCAGCATGGCAAAAAGTGGGTTGATAAACGTGTCTGTCGAAGTAACTAGGCTAATATTACCTTTGCTCTTGTACCGGTCAATCATTTAATCACCATGTGAATCTCATTTCATTTTCCAATAATATATATTCACAGGACATCTGAAACAAGTGGTAAAAATTTCTGTAGCAATATTGCTTTCAGATGTTAAGCTCAGTAAGGTAATCTTTGTCGAGATGCTGGATTAGACTTGTTTTATTGAACATTTTTTAGTATGATTGAATCAATGAATTCGAGTGACTATGGTCATTCTACTTGAATAATGTGTAAAAATTCTGGCTATTTCTCCAGTATTTTCTCAGGCTGGACTTTCCGAACCACTGGCCTCTTGATTTGGGTCCTGTGGTTATCAATGTAGTTGTCCTCGCGTAATATTAGGTCCAGACTACGGAAATGAGATTATCCCCGATAGCCACTTCAAAAATAAATCGTCAAGCATATACTGACTGAACTTCACAATATTGGTTCATTAGACTGGATCTACAGTGATGGAGGGGACTAAACAGTGATGTTCACAGCGACTGAATGAACATCTTGATTTGATCACTGACAGCCAATATCACGATACAAATTGTATATGATTGAAAAAATGGTAACAAAATGAATCAACCAGACAGTAACTTACCACAGTCTTTGAATGAATTCCCAGAAGTTAGTTGACTTAAGGCCAATAAGGATATGTAGAAATAAATCATCCTTTTGGTGACTAGTCTATACTATGGTGATCTTCTATGAATTTATATCTACTTTAGCGAATGAAATCCTCCTGATAGTTGAACCAATCAATGAATTACTCAAGTTTCTTACAGGTAATGATCATCCAATCAGGAGATGTTTTACTTTTAAAGCAAAAACAAACTGAACACATCTTACAGCAAACCAGTTAATTGGCTGTTTCGTTCTACATAAAAGACAGCATTTACAGTGACTGGTATAACGGAATTGAGACTAAACGCTATTCTGTTCTGTGTTGACTAAAGACATTCAGGTATTCAGGTAGTTGCAGTGACATTTCACTGGTTCTCAGCTTGAGGCGCATTTGGCATCAGTATAAGCGATTAGTAAACAGAACAAACATGAAAATATGTAGTGAAGTGAAACAAGTACTAGTGATCTAGGTATCCTTAAATTTGCATCGTGTAATAAGAAGATGGAGGTTATCTGAGAAATGAGATATATTCTGTCCCGAAGAAGGACGTTTACATCATGCTACCATATAAAGGGGAATCAGACAGTATTATCTTAAGAAAACGGCTTAATTCAGTTATTAAAAAGACACACTATGCAGCCAACTTCAGTATTATAAAGAAAACAAAACTTATGCTTCAAAATAGACCTTATCACTACATGGACTATTACGTGATATCCCGATCTGTATTCCAGTTTACATGTCTGTCCGATGACATATACACTCAGAGGAGTAGTCAATCTATGGAGTTGAGAGTGGTGTAGCATATCTCTCAATGACTAGATAAACAATCACATTAAAATAATCTGATGAATACAGGGACAGATAGACGTCATCCTCGATAGATAAACATATTGTAGAAATAGGTCACAGGATTGATCCCAAAACAGACTTTACACCATTGTATAGGAGTAGTCAAGACCATATACTTAGGTTCATTGAAGCCTTAGCTATAAGAAAGTTCAAACCCTCTTTGTGTATTCAGAAGAAGTTTGTCCTTATCTTAGATCGACCTTGGTAATCTTTATCTCATTTTACTGCCAAGGGAAGTGTGAAAATGTATTAATCTTCCTTAATATCACCATATTTTCCATATCTTGCAGAATCGTGACCAGTGAAGCCAACCAAGTGGAACATGAGGACAATTACTTAACTACTACCCAGTAGCTCAATGGCAATGTGCTGGCCATGGAACCTGAATGTCCTGCGATCGCTCCCTGGGGGTCGGGGTCATAGGGGCGCACTGCTGAGGTGTCCTATACTAGGAAGAAACAGCTGTCCAGTGTTCCCAGGTTTCCAATGTTTCTCCAACTGATGTCAGTCCATAATGAATTCTAACGTGGAACTATATTATTTATCTTACCCCACCCTATTTTCATTCTTCATGTAAAATACTGTGACAACTAAATGTGTGGCCAGATTGTTTGAAATGTATTGTGTGAATACATCACTTTTCTCAGATAACCTCCATCTTATTACGGTATACAAATTCATCAGAGACTAATTGTTTCAAATCCTTAAATTTGATCGAAATAGGAATAGGACTTAGACAGTGAAGTTAGATAAAGTTCCTCAATAGTTTTTTTTGGTTAGTGGTACTATTTTACTTGCAGGATTTCTGGTACACAATCCTCTTCCAATAACCAGAACAGGGAAGTCCGAAGAGGTGTTCAGAGCTGGTTCCTTAAGTCATATTCAGTCACTTAGTCAATTTCAAAATAAAACCTGGCATTGCTGTGTAACCATTTAAGGTGTCACACCTCAAATCGGCACATCTTGATATAAATCAGTAAGATGAGGGAAATAAGGACGAAAGTATTCGCATATACTTCGATTGTGAACTGTCACCTACAGTCTCCAACTATCAATTTCAGGTGCTCATACAAACTCCAACCTAAACGTTATTGTATCCCTGAACGTCTCAGAGCAACAGTCAGAGACTTCATGAATATATCTCATTTCGTCTGACTACCTCTATCCTCTTTCCAAAGTAAACCCACTTCACCTAACACTGTAAACTCAGAATAGACGGTGACTAAGAGTGTGTCACAAATGTTCAAGCCCCTTGAGTTGATGAACTACAACCTAATCAATTAACTCATCTCTTCTGTCTAAAACTTCACGCCTGACATCTACCTTACTTATGTGATGGTTCCACGAAGCATGCGTAATCTTGTGAGGGTGTATATGGTTGAACACGTTAAATTTTCTCATCATCTTCTTCATTGATGTCCACATTTAACAGCAGTATAGAAGAACAGAGCATAATTTCACATAGTACATTCAGCTTTAGGCACGAAGTGCAATACTTAGCCGGTGCTATATGTGGAGTAAACTGGCAAAAGTGACGTAAACCTTTTCATCCGTACTGAGATGTCTTCGTTCACTGACTTACCATGCCTCATCTTAATCCCCAACTAAGAGAAATAGTCAGCTTACCAGTCCACTATCCTCCTTACTATTAAATAAGGTGCTAACACAAACCAGTCCCGGAGCTGCAATCTGCATTTCAATTGGGAGAATAACATCTCATTCCATATATCCAGAAGATTAGGCATCTTTTCAGCATTTTCGCCCACTAGGACTAGATCATTTGCATACTTTTATATACTATGGAATCTCCTAAGAAACGGTCAATATCGATAGAGTTAAATAAAAGAAGAAAGACTTTTGTAAACATCTATAACAAAGCTAACTAGGACTAGAGAGAGTGACCATCCTTAGTGGACACCATTTGAAGTATACTGATCAAAGGCTTTAAGACTTCCACTGATAATCGAAAGGAAAGTTTACAACAGGGTGATCTGTTTACCCGGCAACCGTTTCAGTGAGAGACACTGAAATAAGACCTCTCGACTGATAGAGTCAAATACCACCTTCAGATTAAGAAATATAGTTTGTCTTGCACCACAGTAATTGTATGTGTTTCAAAAACTGAACTAGTGAATATCTAGTTGATACACTCATCACTAAGTCTGACACCTGCCTGATTTTCTGAGACTGGCTATTCCCGAGTTTCACTTGGGTATTTAGTGATTAAAGAAAGCAGAATCTTAGGTACTATATTCGTCAGACTAGTTTTGCTAAGGTTAACACATGAAGATTTTTCTTGGTTTTTGAATACTTGAACAGTCCGTGATTAATATCCGATTCGCTTACATCAGCTAACACTAGCTAGTTTGACTAATAATCCTCGATCACCTTCGTTAAATACTTCCAGTAATGTCTTATTAAAGTCTGCTTGTTTTTCTGGCTTCAGGTTATTTACAGTCTTATCAACTTTTGCAAGAGTTGAAGGCTGTATGGTAGTGTTGTTCTCGGAATAATACTGGTTAACAAGCGGCTAAGAAGTAGATATATATTAGTTGGACTGTTTCGAGGAAGATCTCTCTCACCATTCGAATCATCTTCACTTTGAGTAAATTGCAAGTCCAACTTTCTCTCATACGGTCTCACCGATAATGAAATTTTTGCCTCAGTTTTATTTGATCAACTTAAAAATAATTGTCTACTGTTGCCTATCACCATGACCTTTACCATCTTCTTAGCCTTCGCTATGCACCATATATACTTGAGTTACTCATACAACTCGTTGTGCTCTTAACTTGCAGGAATGACGTCATCCGTATCCAGTTATTCTAAATAAGCTCGTATGATCAGCTAACCCTTTCTAACGTTTTTCCAGGGGGTCAGTTACGGCTTTTAAGGCAGTTTTCATTGCAGACTTGAGGTGGTGAGCCAGCCAGCCAGCCAGCCAGCCAGCCAGCCAGCCAGCCAGCCAGCCAGCCAGCCAGCCAGCCAGCCAGCCAGCCAGCCAGCCAGCCAGCCAGCCAGCCAGCCAGCCAGCCAGCCAGCCAGCCAGCCAGCCAGCCAGCCAGCCAGCCAGCCAGCCAGCCAGCCAGCCAGCCAGCCAGCCAGCCAGCCAGCCAGCCTGTCACCAGTCAGCCCACCAGAGTTCCTTGTTACTCATTCTTATTACTCTGGCCATCTCATCGATATTCAGAATCAGATGAGCGTAGGTGGCAACTGTTGATGTGATTCATGTATGTCTTCAGTTGTTTATTGGAAATGCTTTTCGTGACTCACCAAGTCTCTCAACCATCACATAGAAGCACTGACTGATTCCACTGAATTAGTTTTCAAAATCCGGATGTTGTTCAACCTCTTTCCTAAGTCCAGTGCAGTAGATCTCCACACTGATTATTTCAGATTAATGAATACCTGTCTTGCTGTCTCTCCTATCCTGGCTGGCTTTGACGTCCTCATCTGTGCCTGTGCCTGTGCCTGTGCCGTTACCGAGAGTAGTTGAAACCATGCTGTCCTGCATAGGTAGGTGACACATACTACTTCATTTACATTTCTCCCATTCTAGTGGTCGGGGATTGCTGTTGTTGTCGTTGTTGTTGTTGTTGTTGTTGTTAATTGGGTTTCTTCATCACCTCTGTATTCTCTGCATTCACCTGAAATCCCATCCTCCTTCGCTGCCCTCCCTCTTCTCTCAACATGTCGGTTTTCACCTGTAGATCTTCGAGTTTGTGCAACAAGACATTAGACATAAATCATCATCGTCGAAACCCAAATCGTCTAGGCTCTTTTCATTGGTCTAGTCAGACTATGCACATCCACTCACTTCCCACAGTTGTCAGTTGCATGATCCCCTCCAGATCAGACCACTCCAGTCGACCACAATCAGCAAGATCATCGGTGACAATGGGTGGAAACCTTGTCTTACTCCTGTCTCCTGTCTCCTGTCTTCACTGCAAAGACGTCACTGACATTTCCATTGTAAATCACATGGCGTGTCGCGTCGTCATATAGCATATAGCTGTTGTTAAATGAGGTTGATAAAGGTTTGTGACACTAAACACGTATTGTTGAGTTAGCCGCCTGTCAAATTACTTCTCGTTCGACGCTGTTGAAGGCCTCTTCAAAGTGGATGAAGTTGAGGTAGAGTTGAGTTGAGTTGAGTTGAATTGAGTTGACTGCCATTCTATGCTCTGTTCTATG